CCAGCCTCTTAAGAGGAGCTGTCTGGGGCTCCCGCAGCCTCCAAGTCCTTCATCGACAGTCCTCACTGGTTTTCACAGCTCAAAGTTGTGGGGACTTCTCTTCCCGGCCCTGGAGCCCTGGGCTTGGGTCCCGATGTGGGGCTGGGACCTCTCACTCCTCCAGGAAACCCCCACCTCTGAGATTCCCTCCCGGGTTTAAACGGCGTCACCGGGTGTGGGCCCATGGCCGTGATTCAGCCCCGATCCACTCCCATCTCCATCCCTCCTACTGGTCTCGGTGCTTCTTCAGCTCCCTGGTTGTAGGGCTTTTGTTCAGCCAGATTTCAGGAGGTTCTGAGTGATGGTGGTTCTGTATTTTAGTTGTAATTTTGATGCGGTTGTGGGAGGGAGTGGGTACAGCTGTTATACCTACGCCAGCATCTTGTTTCCGAATCTGCCCATCCATGCCTCTTGACCTATTAATTTTGCTTAAAGTTTTACTACTTGACTTTCATCTTTGATTGTCTATTACTATAAGGTACAATCAGTGAGTTTATTCTACTTTTATGTTTTCTGCTCCTGTCATTCATTTATTTGTATGTATTATGATTCCTGCGTTGTTAGATTATATAACAGTTACATTCCCTCTGTCACCTGTATGTCCATTTGTTTTCATCTTAAATCTATGATTAAATGTATTGTTCACTACCTGTCTTTTCCTGACATTTTTCCTGTCATCTCTTGTTTGCATTGTATCCTCAAGTTGTTTCTTCAAGAAGGGCTAATATGAATAAGAGTTTTTGCGTTTTGAAAACCATTTGTCTCAAGCCTTGTTCCTGAAGAACTGGTTGACCAGACATAAAATTATTGACTCATACTTTCTTGAGTACCTTATAGGTATATTTCCACTGTCTTCTGACAGTGTTTATACAGAATTATGATGTCAGCTTGATTTTCTTTTCCTTTTTAAGTACTTTTCATAATTACTTTACTAGATTATTTCTCAGTATTGACTGTTTTGTGTCAGTTTTATTTTAAAACATGGGATTTCCTTTGAAAATGTAAGTTCAAGTCTTTTATCTTTTTAAATAAGATTATTATTTCTATCCTATTTGCTCCTTTCTGTCCCTTTTGTGGTATAATTTTTACCATGTGCTAGTTGTAGTAGTTTAGTGTTCATTTTTTTAATTTTAAAAAAATTTTCTTCCATTTCTTAAATGAGTTATGCAGTGCTTATTTCACCTTTTGTTGATACGCTCTTTCCTGAGTTCTTAAATTTCTTCTCTGAGATCTTTCATCATGGCTACATTAAGAATCTGAATTAGACCAGCCAGGCATGACTCAGCGGTTGAGCGTCGACCTAGGATCCAGGAGATCGGGGCTCGATTCCCAGTCAGGGCACATTCCCGGGTTGCGGGCTCGATCCACAGTCGGGGGCATGCAGGAGGCAGCTGATCAATGACTCTCTCATCACTGATGTTCCTATCTCTCTCTCTCCCTCTCCTTTCCTCTCTCTGAAATCAATAAATTATATATATATATATACACAT